TTTGAAGAACGAGGATGTCGATGGGCTTAAGAGCATGACCGGTCGGGGCAATGAAGAAGAGACAGCAGTGAATCCGCGTATCCTGGACAAAGCGCTCACGCGTGGCCGTAAGTTCCTTCCTCAGGTAAATGGCATGTTGATCCTTGATGTACTTGACAATGGGGTCCCAGCACCCTTCATTGTTCACATGATCCCCGAATCCGGGGGTGTCTACAATGGTGAGACGGAGTTTGACACCGTTCTCATTCACCACTAAAAAGGGGATGAAAAGGCGAGGGGGAGAGGGATGGATGAGTACCCTATTCTGTCAAGAAAATAAAAGGCCCATTCACAGTGGGAAGGAATGGCCACTTACTGTGGGAAACAGCCTGAATCTCCACAGTTTGTCTAGGGCTCTCCTCAGGAGCAGTCCGACCCTTGCTATCAATGAGATGGGAGGCAAAGAGCGTATTGACCAGGGTGGACTTGCCAAGACCCGTCTCTCCTATATGCGTATGAGCAAGAATGTGTGAGGGGGGAGGGGAGGAAAGAGGAAGAAGTGAAATGAGCACCACTCTCTCTCTCTCGAGTATACCCACCCACCTTATAGAGCACAGAAGCACTTACCAACAAGGATGACATTGAGCTGGAAGCCTCGCTTAATGAGCTTCTTGTTGATCTGGGTCGGAAGGGTATCGAACCCGACATAGCCTCTGAGTGAAGCTTGGGGAATGTCTCCGTAATTGCTCATCGTTCTTCAGTGAGTGAGGTAAGGGTACGGGGAGAAGAAGGGGATCAGGGTAAGGGTAGAAAGGACAGTAGGACCCTTCAGGGTGGAGCAATAAGAAGAAGAGGGAAAGAAGAAATGGAGTGGAGGGAAGGAGAAGGAAGGAATAGACCAAGACTGTAGTGGTGCTTCTGTGAGAGTGTGAGGCTTGGGGAGGGAAGAAGAGATGAAAAGGGGAGGGAAGGGGCGGAGAGGGCAGCGGAGTACCAATGCCCAGTGGTCTTGGCCATCCAGGGAGACGCACACTTTGCATCCCCACCTTGTGCTAGGGAAAGGCAGAAGCGGAGAGGGGTTCATTAGGCAAGACCTAGATACACTAATGGGGAGTCTGCGGTCTACCCATACTAGGGGGCCAAGCAGCATGTATGGGAGGGTGAGTACCCAAGATAGGGTAGAAAAGGTACTCTTAAGGACGCTTCACTGCGAATCTCCTAGAGGAATAGACGACATGCGCAGGCGTAAACAATAACGATCTCAATGCTATAGAAGCTGTCGCAGGGAATGAAAGATAATCATGCTAGGTAAATATTCCTCCAAGACCCCATTCCGTTCCCGAGGGGGGGGAGGAAGGGGGGTTCAATAAAGCATGACACATTGATCCAAAATATAGGAGGTATCAAGGCTCACATTTACTTTTTCTTCTTGCCCCCCGACCCATGCTTATTCCCAGTTCGAGCTGCCTCCTTCTCCTGGATACTCTTCCGTAACCGGGAATGAGCTTCAGCTTGCAGATTCTCGGGCCGGAACCCAGGACGGGATGTCGCGCCAGGCTGTCGTTTCTCCGCGTCCAGTACTCGTTGAGACGTTTGCTTGAACGACGTCTGCGCTTGGCCCCGCGCTTTAGTCGTGCACTTTTCCGCATGGGCCTCAGGAAGTCGATGAGCCGAGCAGTACCTCTGATTGCAAAACTTGCAATTCACCACCAGGATCGTACTTAATGGCTGTTTACATCCAGGGACTGGGCATTTCGTAGGGGAGGACATGATGGGGGGGAGGGAAAAAAGGATGGAAGAAGGATAGAAATGTATCCAAAAGCCTTTAACCTGTGTATGCCAGTGTAAATAAAGGGGATGTCTGGGTGGCATGGGCCGTGGGGAGATTCATGAATTTGAATTTGACCTTTTAAACGACCTTTTTCTGGATCTCTGCTGCCAAGTGTAGAGATTCATGGAAGCCACTTCCCCAACACATTTCGCTGTTTACCGTCACCACCACCAGATTTCTGAAAGTCATCATCATTGACCACTCTACCAGCACAGTAATACACTTTTCTACAAAGTAGCCCATAATCAATAAAAATCATGGATATACTTTATAGCATCAAGCCACACAAGATTGCATTATCCATCATTAAACTGCGGGATTTTTCAGGATGGAGGCTGGCCTTCGTCGGATGGGGTCAGGCGGCCATGCCATGGAGGCCAGGTCGGTGGTCCCGTCCCCCCATCCTAATTTCTCAAAGGGCCCGCTCATCTGAACCACATCAGTCCTGCTTGATCCACGGGAGATTGTAGGAGGCGAAACAAGAAAGGGGAGTAGTTTTTCCCGGATAGCGCACTCCAGCCTTGCCTTGGCCGTCCCATTGGCCGTCGAGGCAATGATCCTCACTTGCATCTTTTCCTCTTCGAAGCCAGATACCTAACAATAAGTAGTTCAGTGAATTTTATCGCTCCTGCCCCTCACATTGACGCTCATAGGATTGGCACTCACCTGAAGATGACTTGATCTCCTATCCCAATCCGTACAGTCCTGAAGAACAGAGATGAGGCGCTCTCGAAGCTTGTCCAGGTCTGTATTCAGCCCTAGAGTCAGGGTAACCATAGCCATCTTCTCAAGCTTGGTCCTCGTCCAGTTTTGAAAGGGGCTTCCCGTAAATCGAGTCAATGGGTAGACGAGACGGCGTTCATCGATCGTACGAATCACCACGAACTGCGCCGTAATTTCCTCTGGAAGAAACTAGAGGTCAGTCATTATCTCAGTCTACCCTGCTCCATAATCTAGACTTACCGATATAGCCATGCTCCCCATCTACCAATACCTCATCCTCCAATGTAATCGGCTGGGACAGAGCAATGGTCAGACTTGCAATCATATTCTCCAGACCGGGCCGAGCAGCCAAGGTGACAATAAGCCCCGCCACCCCTGCACTAGCTAGGATAGACACCCCATAGCTCCAGGCTGCTGGGAAGGTCATTAGAACCCCGGCGATGGCAAAGAGGACGATGACCGTGTAGGCCAACCGACAGATAACTACCACTTGCGTCTCTACTCTTCGGTAGCCCAGAGGATCCTTTTCCCTAGTCTCCCTTGCCTGTCGGGTCGCTACTCGAGAGGAGACCCGGACCAAGTTGATCAGAACCCAGGTGGCTGCTGCAATCAACAGGATGATGACAGCATGTCGAATGGCACCAATTACCCCATCTGACATGTAGCTTTGAAAGGGTAGAGTCACCAAGAGTCCAATAAGCGGGAATAGCGCCATTGTTGGCCAGCGTCTACAAGAACGGATGGTGATATCATGAGCAGGAGAAGGTGTGGAACCCAAGAGTATACATACAAATAGAGGACAAGGTCATCATCCACTTGATTAGGTGTTCGTTTCACGATAATTCGAGCAAGAAAGTACAGGGCTGCATGGACCGGGATGGTCCCAGCACTAGTAGCCAGGAGAATAATTACTGGGATGACCCAATCGGAGGCCATTAGATTGACAATAGATTTGCTGGGTCCACAGGCCAAGAGAGGGGGGCTGAATATGTGCACAGTGAAAGGATTTTTAGCGGAAGATACAAAATAGGAGGCAATGAAGGTGGAAAAAGTAAGGAAGAGGATGAAGGATGGGGAAAGGGGAGTCGGTGGGAGAGAAAAGAATGCAGACGATATGAAGGTGTGGGAATGCGTAAAACGAACGATGCCTGTCAAGGAGCGGAGTTGTCACGAGATAAGGGAGGCATTTACAAAACCAATCCCAGATCATCGGAATACATATATTTTATGATGACTCAAGGATATGGGAGTAAGTTACCTTAACGTACCGGTAAACACGGCCATTTATTATACTTTGCTGCCTTCTCCTCGTATACTCACCCACCTTGCCCAGCACATTTGCGTTACATTCTTCATCATCTACTTCACCCTAGATCATATCATAGTAGAAACAAAGGCATAATGGATAGTTTGAAGAAAGGCAGGTTCGGCAAATGTTGCCTATTATTTTCAATTATTTTCGCATCTATAGTGTTGGGTAGAGCCTACTATGCACAAAGGAGTGTTGATTCCGGTCTCGTCCCTTCCTCAACCATATATTACAAGAAACAAGGTCACCCTTGGACTTCATGTAATCTTATCCTTATCCTAAATGGGAAAATCAGCCCGATTCTTGTTCAAGTACTCCAAGCCTCTGCCCCTTGAGCCACCTTGTATTCTTCACAAGGCCCTTCTTCTCCCTCTATCGTTACCTGCTTCTACTCTCGTCCATGAATCTCCTTTTAGTGAAGAAGAAAGGCATAAGTAGCTGGACACTCGACCCCTTTTGCATCAGTCTCATGAATACACGTGTCATTTATCTCCCCTTCTTCCTCATGGATCATCCTCTAATTACGATACTCCTCGATACAAATAAATTTCCGGTTAAGAGCGCATCCCTAGGTTACATTATGCCAATCCAAGGTTTCTCAAGACAAAGGGAGCCAAGTCCTGATTAATGTTCCTAAAGCCAAATTCTAAGCCCTTCAAATCCCGTCGTGAGATTTAGATCTCCATTTTATATACAACAATACCATGTTAGGCCTTTTTCTTGAATACAAGGGCTCGCTACATAAAATTACAGTATTTTACTCTAAAATCGCATTTGTTCATGACAATTACGGCAGTTGTTGTTGAAACCATTTTATTCTCCCTAGTGGGGTAGGCGCTAAAGACATCCGAACACAATACCTGCCTCATCCGGCCGACCTGCGTGGCACCAAAAACAACGTTCCCGACGCGCGCCCTGTACAGTAATTTTTGAAATGGACACTACAGAAAACCATTAGCGCATCTCCTCTCGGGGTAGTAGATGACTATGGAATCTACAAGAAACGTGGTGACTAACAGTGGAGACGGTGCCATTGGGGTTCTTGAACTTGACCTAGTACAAGGGAGGGATAACGCGCTCAGAGTCGAACCTGGAACCTTGCAACCTAAAGGATGAATATTAGACGGCTAGGCTACGAGAAGTATCTGAAATTTTACTTGCGCCCGCCGGGAATCGAATCCGGGGTTAAAGCTTGGGAAGCTTCAATTCTACCACTGTACTACAGAATAATTATGGCAATTGTATTAAAAGATATGGTATGGAATGAGATGAATGTATGGAAAGGCTTCTCATTGTATTTTGCAGTAATTTAAGAAGATGTCCAATGGACGGTGTCCCATTACAGTTCGAGAGTATATCAGAGGGGGCCATAAATGCGGATGGGGTGGCATAGAGAAGGGAGACTTTAAACGGTATGGCCTGGATCTGGAGGATCACATAGATGCGATTAAGTGGCGGCGGCAGCAGGAGAAGGAGGCTTAGCAGCAGCAGCTTTAGCAGCCCTCCTACGAGCTGCCATGGCACGAATCTTAGCCATTAACCTCCTACCAACCCTTCTGCGGACAAGGTGATTTTCCGAGTTATCATTGGGATAGGAGGCATGATAATCAGGGTAGGAGGCATGATGCTCAGGGTAGGAGGCATAATGCTCGGGATAGGAGGCATGCTGCTCGGGATAGGAGGCCTCTTGCCTGTTCTCATCATAAGATGGGGCAGCCATGGAAGAGGCAGCGGCAAGGAGCCCAAGGAGGACAAGAGTGGTGGGCAGCTGCATATTGACTGGATATCAGATGATAAAGATGGAGATGTAGTATACTAAAGGATTGGACAGTGTGTGTGGTGGATGTGCTCAAGGATGGATGGTCTCGATATCCTCCATCCGTGAATCTTTTATATATGTTATCCTCATGCAATGTCCAAGTCAGAAGTGTACTCTTTTCTTGAGCCGAGGCCCATCTTTGATGGTGATGTTGACCCATGAGGGGATGACATGTGCTGTTAAGGCGGCCTTTTTCAGGCAGGGGATGTGGCGACACCACAGAATCGAGAGCTGCATACGCACTCTCCCATGGGTTGACCGATACCCTCTTGCAAAATTGGCGTATGTTTTAAAATAGAGCCCATACAGTGTGGGTGGAACCCACATAAGAGATCATTGAGAAGAGAGGAGTGGAAAACAGGGAGGGAGATTTTGCCCGAGGGGTTACTACCATCATCATCACCTTCGTCACCATCATTCTCAGATATCGGTTATAGGCCTCACTATGGGGATTTCTCTCCTGTCTACAGTAAGCTGTGGCCCAACACTTTTGTGGTGGATGAGACCCCTAATGATGAGAGGGGCATCCCTTTAGTGCTTCATGAGGAGAATCATGCTGAAGACGAAGGCCCGGACTGAGGAGATGAGGATGAGGTGAAGGTGCGCACATAGCGCGGAGAGTGTGCGCACAACGGTTTGTGTGTGTGTGTGTGTGTGTGTGTGCAGAGGATGAAGGATGAGGATGATGATCCCATCCCTATGAGCAGGGATGGGTATAAA